AAAAAAAACGAAAAATAGAAACATAAAAAGAGAAAGCCACGGGTCGAGCCCGGCATCTGACCTATATTCGTATTTTGGAGAAGCCCGTAAAGTTTTTTAGGTCTTCAAGGCAAGCAAGACCCCTCCTGGCCGGTCTCGCACACGGTCAGTTCATGGGTTTATGGTACTGGGAGTAAACTGGCGACATTAGGGACAATAGTGGCACCCTCAGCCTAAGGAGGACAATCGCGGATTTACACTTAGACGGTCCGGGGATGGTACCTCGCCGATGGAGCGTCTCTCACGGTATTAAACAAGGCATAAATAGTTCATACCCTTAATTATATAATTTTGACGAGGGACGTACGGTTACATAGCCAAACGTACTTTCACACTCTGTGCATATCTGTTCGTCCTACCATTCTTTGTCGAAACGGCACGTCGTAGAAAAAAAAATAAATATAAAAAATGTTGGTCTTGGCGAGACAATCCCGGAAGTGTAATATTTTTTACGTCACACGCATGGGTTACAGTCAAAGTAACTCTGTTTCCCCATCCCGGAACGTACGACACGCACGTCACCATGAGAACGAAACATTTTTTGCAGTCAAAACCACAGGCATCAACCTGAGAGTCTCTAAACTTAAGTAACCTTACTTACTTACTCATGGACCTGAGCCCCTCTGGAGGAGCCGCCAAGTTTGCAGTTACGCCCCACGCCCAACCCTCAAATTGGAGGACCACCCCTTGACGGCTGTCCGCGACTGCTTATTCAATATATTCGCGGTTTCCATCCAAAACTGGAGGGCGTCTCCTCCGTCCGCAATCTTAGGATGCCCCATGCCGTGGTGACAAGGGGCCCACCTAACATGGGAAACTTAAGTAACCACGATAAAAAATACAACTGGTCCTCAAACTGGTAGTGCAGATTTCTTCGGCATAAGCACGCCGAATGACCGCCCAAGCGTCCACATACTTTCTCCCAAACTTTTCGTCGCAGTATATTTGTTAATGACAACCCAGGGATAATTATTTATTGTAGTCCGAAAATTAGGTACAGGGGCATCCAGAAATTATTCTCTATCTGTCAAAGCGTCCATCGTAGACAAAATGGTAATATGTATAAGAAACGTTCCTTTTAGTGATCAATTTTTGGAAAAATAACTGTTCTTTTCTATTTCAATAAAGAAGCACAAAGTGCCTAAAAAGCAGAAGAGACAAACAAAAAACAAATTCCGTGGCCTGTAGTCCGTAAGCGAACTATACTGACAGCGACCGCCGCTGTTGGCGAAGTTAGTGGCAACTATTGTGGATGGAGGGTGTCACATGGTCAGCGCAACAGATCTCCACGGCCGTTTATCTCGGTTTTCTAGACCGGAGCTGCTATTTCCTTGAAATAGCTCCTCAATTATCCTCACGAGGCTGAGTGGACCCCGTTCCAGACCCACTATTGCTCAGAAAATCTGGTAGCGCCGGGAATCAAGCACGGGACCTCTGAATCTGTAGCCAGGATCTCTGATCACTGTACCACAGAGGCGGTCAAGCATATTAGACAGACTTTCAAATGTTTCCCGTATTTTGAATAATTACATTTGTAACTTGTAAAATAGTTCCATTCTTCATGGGACATATGTACAAATCTGAAAGAAGTTGCTGTGAAGTTTCTTATGGCGAGATTTATTTTAATTCTCATTTGTTCTAACCAATTCAGTACAGTTGGGTAAAAATAAAAAGTTGTCCCTGTGCTTAATTATGTAGGGAGTTAAGGTACAGCTCCACAATTCTTGTCCTCGGCATTAGTTCGAGGTGAAGGGTCAGCTTCCAGCCCCTGGCGCTCTACTCTCGGGGAAGAAGTGCTGCCCGTAGCCCATCGCTATACCGCTGAGCTATTTGTACTCCTTTTTTTTTTCCCTTGGCACTACAGCCCCAGTGGGTCTAGGCCTACCTTTATGAACTTCTCCGTTCACTTCGCATTTTCTAGATCTTACACATTCGGTAGGACTCCTTGGGCGGGTGATCAGCTCGTCGCAAGGCCTCTACCTGTACACAAACACAGAAGAACGCACACACACAAACTAAACATCCATGCCCTGAGTGGGATTCGAACCCACGATCCCGGTTTCCAAGCGAGCGAAGACAGTGCATGCCTTAGACCGCTCGGCTACCGTGACCTGCTATTCCTACTCCTTTAGTGATGTTATTTGCATATGCTGAATTCAGTTAGGCCAATGCAGTGCGACACTATAGCAATTTTTTTAACGTTGATAAAGTTAATTTGCGAGGGTACAAATGGAATGAAACCGTTAGAAACAGAATTCGTTACATAACTAACGAAATGTGTAACATTGGTGGAACCTCTTACGTAATCGCTGATAACTCAAGACCTACGGCATATCTTATATTAAAAGTTATATGTAAATGAGGCCGCGCCATAGCTCAAGCGGTTAGTCGCTGGTTTCCCACCGCGGCGGCCCGGGTTCGACCCCGGGTCTGATCAAGTGGGATTTGCGGTGGACAAAGTGGCGCTGGAGCAGGTTTTCTCCGAGTACTTCGGTTTCCCCTGCCAATCTTCATTCCACCAACTGCTCCACAATCACCCTCACCTATCATCTGCAGCTGGTACAATAGGCCTGGTATTTATTTCTGTTAGATGCTGAGTCAATCCCAGGGCCATAGTGTGGCTGGGAGGATTAGGTAAATTGAAAAATTCACTTCATCGGGACTCGAATTCGTGACCTTCCGCTTTGTAGCATAGTGCCTCAACTAACTACACTACCGCGTGCCCCTTAATTGTAAAGAAGTGATAAATAAATTCAATCATCCATTCAAACCCCGCTTTATTATTAGTCACGACAATAAACACGTGACAATACGCATGCATCTTGTAGTACGTATGCATGGATTTATGAACAAATTACGTATTACAAGTACACTGCTAGAAAACAAATTCTGTTATTTCCATAATGACGTGTTTATGCGTCACATCAGCTGACTGACTGTATTAATATCTGGCAGGCTGGTAAAGAAGGCGAGGTAGAGCAAGTCGTGAAAGATGCTATCGACGTGGGGTATCGCCACATTGATGGAGCAATGGTATACGAAAACGAAAAGGAAGTTGGAGCAGCAATCAATGCCAAAATCGCGGAGGGCGTCATTAAGAGAGAGGACATTTTTGTCACCAGTAAGGTGAGTATAAAATTGTCATACCCATTGGGTAGGACGCTGGATGGATCCCAGAGCCGGTATGGACCCCAAGGAGATTAGAAGGATGTCTTGCCCCTGCCCGTCGCTCTGCCGTCTAAGGCATTCGGCCTCCGTCGGCATGAACGTCATGTTTCTAGTAATTGTTTCACTTCGAAATTTCCAGCTGGAAGAACAAGACACGACGACCAGGTAAGATCACAAGAATACGATAATCTAATATTTCATTTATTTCATATAATATATATCCGTCACTAATACTCATAGTCAGTTTACTTCCTCATTCACATGTTTCGACGGTACACGGCCATCATCAGGTGCCTACCACTTTGCTAAACTTTGTTAAAATTAATTAGGGTTGGTCTATTTCAATTCTTAATTCTGATGTGAAATAGAGACCACAGGGAAGACCAAGGCGTAGGTGGGTGGACAATATTAGAATGATTCTTAGGGAGATAGGATGGTATGGATTGGATAGATCTGGCTCAGGATAGGGACCAGTGGAGGGCTTCTGTGAGCACGGTAATGAACCTTCGGGTTCCGTAAAACGCTGGGAAATTCTTGAGTAGCTGCAGAATTGGCGGCTTCTCCAGAAGGGCTCAGCTCCATGAGAAAGAAAANTGTTTTCCTTCACCTGAGGACGGAAACAGATCCAGTTTCCGAAACGTCGTGTTTTTATTTGTTATCTTAAAAACCAGGACGATGGATGAAGTCCAAAATCCCAACATATCAGTGTATTATACACCATCGTCAGAATCCTATAGTAACTAATTAGGGTTGGTCTATTTCAATTCTTAATTCTGATGTGAAATAGAGACCACAGGGAAGACCAAGGCGTAGGTGGGTGGACAATATTAGAATGATTCTTAGGGAGATAGGATGGTATGGATTGGATAGATCTGGCTCAGGATAGGGACCAGTGGAGGGCTTCTGTGAGCACGGTAATGAACCTTCGGGTTCCGTAAAACGCTGGGAAATTCTTGAGTAGCTGCAGAATTGGCGGCTTCTCCAGAAGGGCTCAGCTCCATGAGAAAGAAAAGTAAAAAGAAGTCAAAAAATGTGAAATTGTGATATACCGAGCAGTCCAGCAGTGGTAGACATCTCATGATGGCCGTGCATGGCCGAAACTTGTTGTGAACAGAAAGTAAAGTGACTATTAATGAGTTGCATTAGTGACAGATATTCTCACTCACTCGCTCTTGGAGCTGAGCCCTTCTTTAGGAGCCGCCAATTGTGAAGTTACTCAGCAACTTACCAGCATTTTATGGAACCCGAAGGTTCGTTTCCGTGTTCACAAGAGCCCTCTATCGGTCTCTATCCTGAGCCAGATCATTCAGTCCGTACCATCCCAACGTAACTCCTTAAGATTCATTTTATTATCGTCCACCCACCAACGTCTTGGACTTCCTAGTGGTCTCTTTCCTTCTGTCTTTCTCGCTCTACAGCCTTTTTTCGGCCTTGACCGATTTCCTGTTTCTTCATTTTCTTACACAGTCCGTAGGACTCTTTGGACTGGGGATCAGCCCGTCGCAAGGCCAGTAGCTGCACACAACCATCCGTGCCTCTAGTGGGATCCGAACCCATGTTGAGAGGGCGAAACAGTTCATTCCTTACGTTGCGAGGCCACTGTGATCGGCCAAGTCGTCTAGCATGTTCGCAAAGCAATGGGCTGTTCAAACATTTTAAAATAATTGTATCAACTTTAAGAAGTGTAATAAGCTTTTGAAAGAAATAAATACGTGAAATTATATAAGGATGAATACATTATATTCCGTACCCTTTGCAGCTGTGGAACACATATCATAAGCCCGAACTGGTACAACAAGGTTTAAGGAAAACGCTGGCAGACCTGGGACTCAAGTACCTGGACCTGTATCTCATGCACTGGCCATTTGCATTTAAGGTAAAGTTGATACAAAGAGGTCACTTTAATTGCTGACCGCTTAGGCCAGAAAGTGATGGAGTTTCAGTTACTGAATCAAGTTACAGCCATACTCATAAAATTTCTGTAAGGACAAGGCAACACAAAGAAATCTCAAATTCATAATATTGTCATATATGTGGGGTTTGCGTGACGAATATACATATATGAAGATACACAAGTTCTTACTTGAAAATAATAGAAAAAAAGGAGTGAAGTGATTTTAATATTAGTTAATAATCTCATGTAAAATTCTGTTGGTTTTCTTGTGTGTTCTACTCCTTTTACAGCTCACTGTTTTACCTATACGAAAGTACATAATGTACCGCATATATTACATACATTTCTTATATATTTACTGACAACACATATGCACAATTTCCAAAATACAGTCTGTGTTAATGTGCAATGCCTCATCCTCAGAGTCGTAGGCGTATTTAGAATAATGCCTAGTGCTCTACCTCAGAATTTTATATATTGAAATATTTTTGAAACCCGTATGACCGTCTCAATACAGAAGTGGCAATGAAAATTACATCATAATATCAATATATTAGGAATAATAAGGTTGCTTGAAGTAAGCAGAATCCACCTGAAGACGGAGACAGAATCCAGTCTCCAAAGCGCTGTGTATTTTAAATAAAAATAAGACGATGGATAATGTCCAGGAACACGATAATTGTATTACGTCATATTACACAGTCAATAAAGAACGGGCCCTCGGTTTTGTTTATAGGAAGGAGAAGTTCTGATGCCAAAAGACGAAAACGGCCAATTGATACCTAGCGATGTGGACTATGTGGACACATGGAAGGAGATGGAGGAGTGTGTGAAGTCAGGTCTTACCAAGAGCATTGGTCTGTCAAACTTCAACAGTGAACAGATACAGCGAGTGCTGGACATTGCTACCATCAAACCAGTTGTCAACCAGGTAATACACTAATTATAAGGTAAAGTTACCCATGTATTCAGTTACGGTAAAAAAGGTAAAGCTGTCCCTGTAACAGGCTGTGGAGGACCATAGGGTTGTCAGACGTCGAGGCTCACATATTTTCTAGACAACTGGCTCACAGATGGCGGTGAGGTTGTCATCCTTATGCGCCAGCCGCACATTTACCCCCAGGAAGATTCCTGGTACTCATTCCTGTTAGAGGCTGAGTCGACCCCAGGGCCATGGTGCGGCTGGAAGGATTATGTCAACTGAAAAATCCAGTGACCTCATATAGAATCGAACCCGCGACCTTCCGGTTTGTAGCATAGTGCCTCAACCAACTATGCTACCGTGTGCCCCTGTATTCAATCATGCATCAAAGAAACTAAAGTGAAAAAGCGTGTGTAGTTCAAAATTCCCCCACACTCAACCTACTACAGTCAAATTTTGACCGAGTTATTTTTAGAAAAGGAGTGTAGGTGTGTGTATATTAAGAAATGTATATTGGCAAATATAAACTATATCCAATGGAAAAGTATGAAAACAGAAAACGCAAACTCACAGTACGTGATCAGTTCTTTGTGTTTATACAGTAGTATTAGTTTATGTGCCGGTCACGATAGCCGAGCGGTCTAAAGAATATACTGTCTTCGCTCCTTCGGAAGCCAGAATCGTGGGCTCGAATCCCACAGAAGACATCGATGTTTGATACGTGTATGTGTTTATTTTGCGTTTGTATTGTCCTGTGTTTAGGTAGAGGCCTTGCGACGAACTGACCACTCGTCCAAGGAGTCCTACCGTGTATAAAATGATCATGAAACTGAATATGGCCAGGTCCCAAGGGGGCTGTAGAGCCAGGTAAAAAAGTAGTTTATGCGGTGTCCAGAGGCAGAGTGATACCAGTGATTAGTAGGGAGGGATGCTGGATGAAGCGACGATGGTATATTAAGATACTGTTCTCGCATTTATCATGAAGAAGTGAGGGAAATCACGGAAAGCATGAATCCTCTGGTTTGTGAAGCGAAATGAAGACCTCAGATATAAGCTGCCAAACTTCATGATTTCAGGTTGAGTGCCACCCATACCTGAACCAAAGCAAGCTGATTGCCTTCTGTAAGGAGCGGGGGATTGTGATAACGGCCTACTGTCCCCTGGGTAGCCCCAACAGCATTGCTAGAGCAGATTTTCCTGCACCTCTTAAAGATCCGACACTACAAGAAATTGCCAAGAAACATGGAAAGAGTGTAGCTCAAATTATTCTCAGATATCTGGTGAGTATTTAAGTCTCCAGGATCAGTTCTGTATTCATAAATTAACGGGTAGTAGAATCCGAACACCGATCACAGTACCCGTGGTCTAAGGCATGAAATGTCTTCGCTCTCTCGGACGCTGAGGTCATGGATTCGAATCCACCTCAAGGGATGGATGTTTGGTGTGTGTATGTGTTTGTTCTGTGTTTGTGTTGTACTGTGTGTAGGCAGCGGCCTTGCGATGGGCTGATCACTCTTCCAAGGAGTCCTACCGTCTGTGTAAAATGGTTACGGAACTGAATAAGAGGCCCGGACCCGAGAATTGGTTGGAAGAGCCATTGATATGAAGTGGAATCCGAGGATAAGCAGTGTTAATATTAGCACCCGTACGGGTACGAATGGTTAACACTCAGGCTTTCCAGTTTAACTAGTTTTTTTTTTAAATTGACACGGTATGTCCACACTGCACAATGATAATATAACATTAAGATGTCAAACTGATTATCATTTATATTACTGTACTTCAAGGCACGAAACTACTTTTCCAGTGCAACACGATTACGAATGTTCTATAAATTGATAAAAAGTAAAAGCCAATTTAAACGAATTTGAAATCGGCATAATGATATATATTTTCAATTTATGTCTTCTGTTATGTTGGTTACGGTAGCCGAGCAGTCTAAGGCATGTACTGTCTTCGCTCGCTCGGAAGCCGGGATCGTGGGTTCGAATCCTACAAAAGGCATGCATGTTTGGTATGTGTATGCGTTTATTCTGTGTTTGTGTTGTCCTATGTTTAAGAAGAGGCCTTGCGACGAGCTGGTCACTAGTCTAAGGAGTCCTACCATCTGTAAAATGATCAAAAAGCAAAAAAAATAAAAAAAAAATCGACACCGTAAGGTATAAGAGGAACGGATTAAGTAAGTTAGTGCACTGTTAGGTGCTTGCCTGCTATGTTTTTAGTGTTTTATTTTTATTATTATATTAAAGATCCAACATGGTACAGTACCAATTCCCAAGTCGTCTAACAAGAGGCGTCTCCAGGAGAATATCGGCGTGTTCAACTTCGAATTGAGTGAGCAAGAGGTCGCTTCTATCGATGCCCTGAATAGGAACGCCAGAATTTGTGTCTTGTAAGTGCTGGTCACTGTACTATAATGTGGTTGTCATATAGTCTTGTATGAATTTAAGAGTTCATAATTAAGATGTATGTTAACTTTTCCCAGTTTAGCTAAAATATCATATTTTATTTCAGTGCCGAATACCATAAGCTGTACCCATTCAACGTCGAATTCTGAAGAAGGAAGAGCCGAAAATATCAATTTTGCATCAACAGTGAAACTTTATGTTGTGCATCTTGTTGTGTATGTGGTGTTACAATTTTTTACCGTCACATAACAGCGTATGATTAATTATTGTATAACAAAACGATTGAAATCGAGTGAAATTGAATCAGTGTTTATTATATTGACCACACAACATGTTCAGGTCTCTGCTGACCATCATTACGTGTGTATGAACAAAAACAGTAAATATATAAAGTTCATGCTGAATTAAATCATAAAAGTTGATCCTTTTTTTTTTGCAACATCTTAGATTATAAGTTGTGTAAATGTTTAGGAGTGAATATAAGAAAATATATTTGTAATGTTATACAATTATTATGGTTATTATTACAATTAGTACAGTGTTTGTGTATAATGGAATTAAATTCATCTACACTGTGCTCTGTCTGTAATTGGCCTTGCGGCTGTTGACATGGCACATAAATAATAAAGAATTGAATTGAATTGAAAATGTATATATATATATATAAGTGTATTCCAAAGAGATCTGACGATGGTGTATAATACTAAGAATTACTGGGTTTTCGGACTTTGTCCATCGTCCTGTGTTCTAGGAACTAGAAAACAACCTTTCGCAAACGGGATCTGTTTCCCTTCTTAAGTGAGGGGGGATGGCGCAGATACCTACTCTGTTGGATCCCACAGAAAGACCCAACCTCAATAGTATAATGTAGGTATACACGTAAAAAGTAGTAGCCTAGATGGTGGTTGTAGTGTGCTATATTGTGTTCTTTTTTTTTAGGTGAGTGACTATGTGATAGTGGATTTTAATTTAAATCGTGTGTAGTTACAAATGGTTCGACATTAGTATAATCGTGTATTTTCGTGTTCTTGTGATTTCTTACACGTCTACATTCTTGTTCATGTAATAAACTGACACTCGTTTTCACTCGATTACAATCGCTTTGTTTTACAATAATTAAATCCACGTTGTTGTGTGAAAATAAAAAACTTTAGTAATATATTACTTTTGAGATCTACATGATATTAAAGTGACATAAATATCATTCACAATTATTAATTTTAACATTAAAATATGTACCTAAATAAATACACAAAATTTATCATCTGTATGTTTTTTATTACAGTGAAATTTAAGCGGATAAATAATAGTGATATACATATCATAACTTTCTTCCCTACACAGGAAATTCTGATCTTCCCTTTATGAACTGGACTATACAGTTCAGTAGTGAACAGAACTCCCATGTTTCATTTTCCTTCATTCCTTCCAATCATTCATTTAAAAAAGTGAAGTATGTTCAGAGATATCAGATATGGATATAGTGTCCTCTTTGCCACGGTGGCAAAACGAAAGCATTGAGGTCTGGAACAACACTGAAACGTCAAGTCCCGTGTGCGTCTGATGCCAATAAACCGAAAATACAGAATAACCATTAAGAATCTGCAGCAAGATAACACAGTTACATGAAGGCCTATAAAATAATTATTAGGACTGTCACGTGTATCAGTGAGTTCGGATTCATAACTGGATTTATTGACTACTTACAGGTCGTAACTACAATTAATTATCACATTCTTCCTGATTTTCACACCAAAAAGCACTCAACGATAATATCTTCAGTCTATCTCCACTAATCTTCACGGATTTATAACACACGAACTATAAAAGTCTCACTAAATCACACACTCCCAATATCACTACACTACAGGACACATAAAGTCTTCAAATCACAAGTAAATGTTCACAGGCTGACTTCTTGTACTCTTCTGTACTCCTACAGCTTAACTGCTTCAGCTTCGGAATTCTGCTCACTCACGTAGACGCAGCCCGGACACGCTTCACAGAAACCACGTCACTTGACGGCTAACCAGCCAGTCCATTGGCGCGCTGGCTGCTGTCCACAGAAAATATACGTCACGTGATATCTACCCACTTTTGCGATGACGTCATTGCACTTGAGCGGAAGTGTGTTTACCGAGCCGTTGCCTGGCAATGCTTTCATCAAATCCGTTACAATATACTTATTACTTTTGTTGTTACTGCAATGAAGTGTCATATATAATTTGAATGTATGTCACGAGAGAAAATAATCTTATATATGATATATGTGTAATACTTGCTCTCACAGTTGAGGCAGTTAACCTTCAACACCCGACAGATGACACTGATAATCAAAGGGCCTCGACACAGCATTTGATATCACTTATATATAATTTCATATCTTGTACAATAAAAGGAAGTTTTATGTATGATTGTTTGCTTGCGCTCAGAGGGAACTCGGACCTCTAGAGAAAAGTTAAATGAACCTTCCCATTGAAATTTTAATGGGGATTATAATAATATTAGGATATACACGTATATAAGTTACGTGTAGATTAAATATATCTTAGTTATGCGACTTTCAGCTACCAAGAAAATTAAACGTCCCTTATGACCCACAGTTAAGTTCAGGTCTCAAGCGTATTCCAAAATTTCTAAATCCCGCCTCAATATCTAACGAATCTTAATTTTCCAAAATTTCAGGACGATTATGTAGATATATACATGTATACATGTATTACCGAAAGCATGGTAGTAGCGAATATGCAGTTTATATATACTTGTACGTATATATGTTTTGTACACATAGGGCCTCATATATCCAACTGCAAGTAACGGATGTTAATGTAAAATGTGACGTCACTTTTATCGGTCCCCGACATTCCAGAGAAGCTGAAACTGTTTTCAAATATGCACAAGACTCTATATTAAAATATCTCATTTGACATTCAATAACCATAACAAATGAAAAGGAAGTGATTCTACGTAGCAGAGATCGTCCTGAGAAGCTTATAGTCACTCAGATGGTCAAGAAATCAGGTTCCTTTTATGCAGAGATGAAACTGTATCTTCAGTAAAATTGTAGATTTACGCTCCAGATCAGCAGAAATCGCATTATCAGGACTTGTTACAAGATAAATGATTACGCTACAAGTTCGGCAATTCGTTCCTACATATATTGTTGCTAGGAATGACAGTTACAACATCTTAAACCGTTGTAAATAGCTTCAAACAAAAGAAAGTGCTCTGGAACTAAATACATGCATTTACACACACCATCCCAGTTTCCAGCCCTGATTTAATGGAACCCGAATTTCCATTGGTAGGTCAACAAGAACAAATAATCCGTATAACAGGCGTTCGAGAGTTTGTGTAACATTTACTAACATAGCTTTTTTTTTTCCTGTGACGAGTTTTTAGGCACTGCCCAAACCCCAAAGAGGAGGACACATGATATTGTCACGTGTATCCGGGGCAACGAGACTAATACTTGTGGATTCTAGATTTGATGACTGGATTTAGTTAACATTACTGGCCGCGGGTTCAAGTCCCGAGGAGGTCATTGGATTTTTTTCAATTGACCTAATCCTTCCAGCTGCACTATGGCCCTGGGGTTGACTCAGCCTCTAACAGAAATGGGTACCAGGAATTAATTAAATAATTTTCCTGGGGAGTAAAGCGCGGCCGGCTGACAATATTACCGCCATTTTTGAGCCCATTTGTCTAGAAAATGTGGGAACTTCAACATCTCACAACCCTATGGGCCTTCAAGGCCACTTTACTTTTACTTTATTACAATTACACTCGATTATAACAGTTCAAGCACTCAACTCCTTCTGGATAACGATTATCTCTCTGCGTAGCTCTGTTTAGCACGCTGATTCACTTCTTCTTGTTCTTCTTGTTCTTGTTCTTCTTCTTCTGACTTCACTTCTGAACTGACCGCATCTCAAATGGCCCCCTTTTATCCCTCCCTGTTAGGCGGCTGGGACCGGAATCACCTCCTTGAAGAGTTCTGTTTATAACATCAGTGGTAATAGTCTGTTTAGAAGTCGTCACCACGGATGTATCTTCAATAGTACCATCAAAGCGAGAGTAACAGTGCATTTCGTGTTACCACGGGAACGTACTCCGCGAAGCCCCGCCTAGCAGATGGGCAGGTTGCAGCTTTCAGGTCACAGTCACAAGATAATAACCGCGTAAAGAACAACAGGACGAAAACCTGGCGCTTCAAACATCAACATGTGCTGCCATCTGTCTCCAAATAGTCAAAAGGCGGAACCTATGCCGTTATATAAGACATAGTCGTTTTTATCATACGATAAGATACGATACGACCTCTTACTCAAGAGCAGACCAGTGGTCTACAGTTAGGCAGTTCGCGTGGAAGCTGTGGTGGTATCTCAAGATGGTACAGACTTTGAAGTTAAATAATAACTTAGGTTTTCCTGTACTGGGCATGGGAACATCTCAAGTAAGTATCTGCCGGCCATCAAACTTCTGCATGCTGTAGTATAAGAATTTCATTTACATAAAATAAAAGGCCATCATCGTCTGTGTGTTAAGCCTGTATCAATTATACCTCACCTGTGAAAGGACCATCAGTGATGCAATGATGTGTTAAGATGTGTCAAAGGCAGCGCCATAGCTCAAGCGGTTAGTCGCTGGCTTCCCATTGCGGCGGCCCGGGTTCGATCCCGGGTCTGCTCAAGTGGCGC